TCCCTCCCCTCCCCTTTAAGTCTTTAGGGGAAAACTCTGTCTTCCCATTAATCCTACCAGCTGAGGAGCATGTGCCTTTAAGCATGATTATTTATCAAATTCTTCCACTTTGGTTTTTTTGTTGTTGTTGTGTTTGTTGGGTTTTTTTTTTAATTAACTACCAAAGGCAAAGGTTAGAATTAGAGATCTAATAGCTAAATGCAATTTTAAATTCTTATAAATTTGAGGCTTCTAGGAAACTACTTGGGTACAGCCTTTGGAAGTTCTGAGGGGAGCCAAGCTGCCAGCATGAAAGCTCCCACCGCAGACTGCTGGATGTTCAACTTGCCTTCTAGGACTCCTTATAAAACAGTGTAGTGATAGGAGAGTATGGGATATTAACCTCAAACCTTTGTGCCCTAGATTAGGGCTTTGTAGTATTTTTCTTCTCCAAAACTCAGCTAAAACTGATGTTCTGTTGTAAGCACTACTTTTCACCCAATAAAGCATTTGGAAAGTACATGTGGGCATCCCATGCCTTTTAGGGGCAAACAATCTGTTATATGCTTTAGAGACAACTCGAGTGCACAAAAGGAGAAGAAAGCAGACATTAAAACCATAGACATAAATACAACCAGTTTCTTTACAACTCTGACTGTAAATTGCTTCAGCATGTTAATTTGGTGCAATACATAAATGAACCATGTGGTCAAATGACATTCCTATGTTGTCATCATCACAGGACAGAGTTGATTTTTGAGCTTGCTTAGAGTAAAACAAAATCCCAACTTCTAGTGTGATCTTAAAAAGCCACTTGCATTTGATGAGTAATCTTCTTGGTAGAAGATAACAATGCTTGCACCAACAAAAGTCATTCATACAAAAAGCTAAGCTTAAGGCAAGATTGAAAGCAACTGAAACCATTTAAGAGGAGGCACAGCTCTAATCATGAGAACACAAAAGAGATTTAATGAATAAAAATTAAAAAGGCTAATGCCTTTTCTATATTAAAATACTATTAGTACTTAAAACTTTAAAATACTGTTTTCCTGACGTACTAAAAAAGCTGACGATATCAGGCTACAACCTAAATACGTAAATGCTGTAAATACACCTGGACAAGTATTTTGAGTTTATTAAAAAATAAAAAGGTACCCGGCCAACTAGCATAGACACTAACCAACCATTAAATGCACGTGGAACGCCACTAGAGTAATTTGTGGTTGTTATTCATGCAGTTATTTTCTCAGGCCAGGTCACACATCAAAATAAGTACACGCCAGCTATAATGCACATGTTGCAGGGATTTGGCATACATTAATTTTACACATCATGTCACTGTTCCCCATGAATTCTTGATTCAGTACCAGACGACATGCGAAGAAACAAAATTGCAACCTTTTGACTCCATTCAGTGGGAAATGGATACTACAACAGAATTGTAGTAGTATTTTAGATGTACAAATAAACCTAAATTAAATGTAATTTTTAAATTCAATTATCTAAATACCTTTGCTACTCCAAAAAGCTCAGAAGTTAAGGTGATATACATTTACTTACCGATTTGTTAAAACATTCCTTGCAAACCATAACCACAATTCATTATGGTTAAACTGAATAAATTTTGGTGTTTCTTAGGCAGGGGTTTAGGCTGATTAATCACTGAAGTGCAGCAACTTTTTCTTTCAGGATACTGTAAATTCTCTCTATGCCTCAGAAAGCCTACATCAGTTTACAAACCTTGCTATTACCACTTTTCTTTTCCTGTTCAACTCACCCACTCCATTAAGACTACCCGGTAGATTGAGTTTGAGATATGACAAAGATGCAGTATGAAACTCCAGTTTTGAGAATCAGACTCAAAAAAATTGTTTCATGAGATGAGTAGTCACCCATTTGCAGCTGCTCTGACTGGTGGGGGGAAGGGAGGATGAGGTGGTACAAATGTAAAGCAAGACTCAAACACATTTTTACAGCATTTCTACACATCTGCAACAAGACACAATCATATTCAACAAGAAATTTAAGACTAGTGCCATTCTAGTTTAGAAAGCTGTAATAACACACAGTTGTACATTAGTGGATAATTTCGTTACCATTACTCAGATCTTCCAGATCACTTACCCTTCTGGTTTTGGTATATCTGTTTGCATTGGATTCTATATTCCTTACAAGCATTGCAGAGCAATTAGCATTTTGCCAATTGTTATTTCAACTTGATACACACACACAAAAAAAGATATTAAACTGATCCAAGTCCCTAGGTATTGCTCCTATATAAAACACACTTAAAACCACTACTGTTTTTTCCTATTTCTGCCTTCCAATACGTTTTTTTTTTTCTTTTAATTAAAGTTTCAAGTATCACGGATTTTTCATTTTTCTGCTATGTATTAGAACTCATTATAGCAGAGATTTTTTTTCTCCTCCGGCTTCTTCAAAAAAAGATATTAAACTGATCCAAGTCCCTAGGTATTGCTCCTATATAAAACACACTTAAAACCACTACTGTTTTTTCCTATTTCTGCCTTCCAATACGTTTTTTTTTTTTTTCTTTTAATTAAAGTTTCAAGTATCACGGATTTGACATTTAACTGCTATGTATTAGAACTCATTATAGCAGAGATTTCTATCCTACACCGGCTTCCTATCAACAAGGGAACAACTTACCAACATGTAACATCACTAGATATATTAAGATATCACACGCCTTACAAGTGGCAAGTCAACACAGACTTCAGCAAAGCTCTTGTGGTTGAAAACATCTTAAGCGGGAGCTGAGTATGCCCCCAATACCAGCCATGCCTCGCACAGACAACCCAGACGCTGAGCAACATGCAACATTCGGGCACAGGAGATGGTTGGGAGCTATGACTGCACCACGTGCTACCTGGACAGCTGTTCAGTCTCTTCCA